GGCTTTGCCATAGGGAGCCATCGGAAGCATGAGTTCCCCATCGACCTTTCTGCGGGTACCCTAGCCAGACTCGTGCCGTTTGGCCATTTCGGGTTTACAGCCAAGACGCTGCAATTGTTGACGCTTCGCGTATCCCCACCAGCCCATCCAGAAACGATGCTCAGGGGAGTTGAGGTGATCAGGGAAGTCGGGGAGCATGCAGAATAACAAAGGGCGGGGGAAGCTGTCACAGACCCCGAGAGGGGGAGGATGGAAGAGTCGTCGTCGTCGTCGTCGGAGGAGGAGGAGGAGGAGGAGGAGGGGGAAGAGGAGGAGGAGGAGGAGGAGGAGGAGGACGGAGAAGGAGGAAGAATCGGAGGAGGAGGAGGAGGAGGGGAAGGAGCTTCTTGGGGGTCTTTTGAGGGCCTCTTGGAGGGCTTTTTGGGCGCCTTGGGGCATCTTGGGCGCCTCTTGGGACCCTCTTGAGGCGCTCTGGGGAGCCTTCGGGGCGCTTTTGGGGCCATCTTGGAGGGAGTCGATCAAACAAGAGGGGGGGTTTAATTAGCGTCCCCCCTCGGAAGGCCCTAAAATCGCCTCTTGGACCCCTCTTGGAACGCTCTTGGAGTGCTCTTGGGCGCTCTTGGGGCCGTCTTGGGGCTCTTTTGGGGCTCTCTTGGGGCCCTCTTGGGCCATCTTGGAGCCATCTCCAGGCCTCGGATGGCCATCGGAAGCGAAAAGGCGAGAAAGCAAAAATCATTGATTTTCCTTAGGTTTTGGGACGATTTTGGCCTCTTCGGGGCCTCCTTGGGGAGCTGTTTGGCCACTTGGAGTTATCTTGGGGCCGTCTTTGGGCTTCTTGGAACCATCTTAGGAGCCATCTCGAGCGATCTTGCGCTATCTTGAGCCATCTTGGAGCTCATCTTGGGTTCTCTGAGGCGCTCTTGGAGCCGTCTTGGGCCATCTGGGACGCTCTAACTACCCGCGGCCCCCCCCGTCCAGGTCCAGGGGAGGGGGTAGGGGGAGGGGTAAACCCCTCCCCAAGGGGGAAGAGGGAGGGGTGGAAGAGGATCTGCTCTAGACCACCTACGCCCAGAGGGCTGGTGGGATTCAGGAGGACATGGAACACACAGAGACACATTAATATCGTTTACCAGGAGAATCTGGAAAATATGGGAAGTGGAAGGGAATACGGCAACCCAACACATACAGACACATATAAGGAAATCTCTGGATTGCGATTCTTTATTTGCGCGTCCCTCAGGCCCTCTAGAAATAACAAGGAAGAGCTTAGATTCGGAAAAGGCCCAGTGCTCCTTGGGTCCTTCCGCGGCTGTTTTTCTGGCTCTCTTCGTGCACCCGGGCTCTTCTGGTGCCACAAAGGGCTTTGATTCTTTATCTAGCGTTTCTTGTATCAGCAGCCAGACTGTATCCCGCCGATCCCTCAGCAATGCGTCAGCAGGCTGATGCTCCCTGTGTCAAGCAGTGGCGAAGCGTCTTGGCGTGTCTATAGGCCTATCAAACAATGTTATATTTTTTTGTGGCTTCCACGAAATGTTTTTAGAAGTTTCCTGACTCGGATCGTCTTGTTTTAACAAGGGTGAGTGTTCTATGATCAGTGTTTTTGGTTATTAAAACATCTCTGGATTCTGAAAGAATTTTGCGATTGGCCTATAGGATTGCCGGGACGGTCGGTCCTTGTTCAATTGTCATGCCCTACCAGGCGTCCTGGGGACTCTTCGTTTCGCCACGGCCCGCCTTTTCTCGAGACCACGGTCCTGCTTGCCGCGCCTCCGCGGGTCGATTGCGAGGACGTGCCTCGGAGGGCTGAGGGGGGTCGACGGCGGTTCCGGCCAGGCCGGCCGTGGGCTTTTGAGTCGGGCCTGTCCTTCTGCAGGAGGGACAGACAACAATGGTAGCAAAAACAAGAATAGTCAGGGGACGATTTTCAGATTATTTTTGATTATGTTTGAGCATGTTTGGTGTATTTCTCATTATCGTCCAAAATGCGCATGTAGGGGGACATGCTCGACCTGAGACTAGGGTCGACAGCGGTTCTGGCCAGGCTGTCCGTGTGCTTAAGTCGGGTTTGTCCCTCTGCAGTAGGAATAATCAAAAATGATGGGACAACGACAAAATAGTATCGGGGCGATTTGTCTATTCTTTTTTTGATTATCTCTGAGCATTGTTTAAACAACCAAACAAAAACAAAACACAAATCGTCCAACATTCGGCTGTACGCGGACATGCCCGAGCTACAGGCAGAAATGATTCCATTGGACACGCGACAGGACACAAGACTCTTCCTACGGCAACATGGCCTCCAATAAGGGTGTCTGCAACATGGCCTCCAACATGGCCTCTTCCCAGGACTGCAGAGGACACGACGCGCGATGCATAGGACACAAGAATACCCTTGATTTGGCAGGGTTGACCTACTAATCTGGGCCGACTTTAACAGTGGGCCTAGCTCGCTGGTGTCGGACCGGCCGGCCAGCCTGGCTCGGCGAAGGACGCGCAGGGGAGCGATACCAATCGGGGTGCAGCGAGGGCTGCCTAAAAGGGGCTCTCTAGGGCCCCTCGAGGGGCCCTGTCGGGCCCAGAAGGATGCCTCCAGGGCCCGAAAAGGGTATCTCCCACCCCCCCCTCAGATCTTGGCTCGGCGAAGGACGCGTGGGGGAGCGATATCAATCGGGGGGCAGCGAGGGCTGCCGAAAAGGGGCCCTCTGGGGCCCCTCGAGGGGCCCTGTCGGGCCCAGAAGGATGCCTCCAGGGCCCGAAAAGGGTACCTCCCCCCCCCTCTATTCGGATGCAACTCCTGGGAGGTCAAATTCTAATATTGCCCTGGTCCGAAGTCAGACTTTATCTGGCTTGATCCCGTTTAATCCGGCTTAATCCAGCTTAATCCCGTTTAATCCGGCTTAATCCAAGGCCCACTCCGACATAGCAGCCCCCCAATGGGGCTTAATATTCTTTGATGTTCCCGACGAAGGCCTCCCAGTAGTTGCCTCCGAAACTCTAGGGCCCGAAAAGGGTACCTCCCCCCCACATATATCGCCCCCGTTAATTGGCGCCCAGGCTCTGGTCCGGTCCAGCCCGACCCCGATTCGGAGTCTCGCCGGTCAGATTTTAGAGCTTCTGAATGGGCGTTTTGAGCAGCCACGCGCAGAGGGGGGTAGGGGAAGGGGGGAAGGCTGCTTAGAAACACCCCTGTTCCTGAGAAGGCGCGGACCTCATCTATAGATGTAAGGCCCGCGCTTTCTAAGAAGACGCCTCCTAAGAAGCCCCCCCTTCCCCTACCCATGCGTGCGCGCCGCCAACTTGAAGAGAAACCGGACATCTGACAGCTTGCGAACAATGCGCAATGAGTTTTTCGCCATGCTCGGCGTCGGGAGGCCGTTCTGGCTTTCCCAGGCACGCCTCCTCAGGCATGTTTGCTGAATCCCATGAGAATTCGCCAACTCTCTGACGCCCCCGCTTGGCTGCTCCGCAGAGGCCCCCAAATGCTAGCGTCCAGGACCTCCCCAGGGTGGCGCGCACCAGCCGCACAGCGCCACTCCCGGCCACGCCCAGGCTTCGAGCACCGGTGAACCCGGTCCCCCTCCTCTTCCTCCTCCTCCTCCTCCTCCTCCTCCTCCTGCCCCTCCTCCTCCTCCTCCTCCTCCTCCTCCTCCTCCTCCTCCTCCTCCTCCACTCTCCTCCTCCCTCCTCCTCCTCCTCCTCTCTCCCCTCCCCTCCCCCTCCTCCTCCTCCTCCTCCTCCTCCTCCTCCATCTCCTCCTCCTCCTCCTCCTCCTCCTCCTCCTCTTCCTATTTTTCCAGGCCTCGGAGGGCGCTCCCGCCGAGGCCACAGGCCCACCTTTTTCGGCCTGGCCCGTGGCTTCCGACGGGGGGGGGGCCGCCCGCCCTCTCTTTCCGGGCGCGCCGCGTAGGGGCCGCTTCTCGGGGTCCCCTCGTCGTGGGTGGTCGCCGCGCTGCCTGTCCCGCGCCGCGTTTCGGAGGAGGGAGATGCGACACCAACACCACCAGGGGGCCCACCTCCAGCGAGGAGGCCCACGATGCCTCCCCGAGCTGGAGGCTGGGGATGTCTCGAGCGAGAGGGGGGACCACACCACCAGGGAGACCCCCCCTTTGCTCCTCGCATCTCCTCGCCCAATTGGTGTTGGTGTCGCCTTTCCTTGTTCTAGCGTTGGCGCCGTTTTCGTCGCCCATGGCGTTGGCGCCGTCTCTCGGGGGTCAGCGATCGGGGGGGATCTTGGGGCACAGGGGAGGGGGGGGTGTATCGACCCCCGATCGCCCACTGATCGCCGATGGGGGGCCCGATGGCACCACCCCCGCCCAGGAAGGTGCGGATTCACCGCCGCCCCTCGCCGATCTATCGGCGACGCACCGCCGATTCCAGGCCGATTCGTCCCCCCCTATGCCTATACTCCCCCCCTGTCGCTGCCCCTCGGTTTCCATCGCTGTCTGTCTCCCCGTCCATCGCGCTGGCGCCGCTTCCCAGCCGCCAGCTCCACGGGGTTCTGCCCGGCAGCCGTGCGGGGAGGGAGGGCCGGGGGGGCTCCGAGGCCTCGGGCGACGGCGGCCCCCTGGCTCTCGGCCCGCTTCCTGGCAGGGCTCGCTCGTCAGCCCGAGTCCGCTCATGGCTGGAAGCCCGGGGGCTCTTCGCAGCGTCATGGGGTTCACTCGTACGAGCGATCTGGGCACGTATCCAGACTCCGAAGTCATGCCCCGCGTTTTCAAGCTGACAGGTGCGCCGGTTGCTTCCCTTCCCCGCCAGCCGAAAACAGATTGTCTCCGTTGCTTGGGCAGGGCTTACACAACTGCACGACGTTGTGGCGAGAGTTTGTCGACGCTGCCTGGCCTCTGTAACTTTCGCGTGTTGGCTCTCTGGCGTTCCGCGATCCTTTTCCCGCACGAGGGCTAAATCCTTAGATTCGATGCTGCAAGAAATCGCACAGGTTGGTGAGAAGTCGCGATCGGAGGTAGGCCCAGTTCTGGTGCGGTACTTCTCGAGCCAGGCCCCGCAGGTTGGCGGATACAAGGAGCGCGAAAACGTTGCGACGCTTGGGTCTCGCTTGGAATGGGCGATGGTGAGGGGGACGAAAACTGTTGCACGCAGCCGGCCAAGGTGCCGCCGCTGGGCGCCTTACTTGATACATGTGGCCGCCTGACCCGTCCCCCTGAGCGGCTCGCTCCCTCCGCACCCTCTTTCGGCCGCTTCCTCCTGTTCTCCCTCTTGCATGGTGGCACAACTCGCTCTAACGGCACCCCCGCTTAGGCTTTTCTGCTAGCGCAGGCGACCCCTGCCTCGCCGCCGACGCAGAAAAGTGGCCGCCTCCTGTGCCAGGATGCGCCGGGAAAGGCAGCTGCGTGAGCCGATTTGCTATCCCACCCCTATCTGCCCCTGCCGTCCGCCCCGATCTTCGGAGGAGGAGGCGGAGGAGGATGAGGAGGAGAACGAGGAGGAGGAGGAGGAGGAGGAGGAGGAGGAGGAGGAGGAGGAGGAGGGCCGTTCGCAGAGGGCGTCTATACCCCACCGCCGTGTGCCAGGCCAGGGCCACCCTGGCTCCGGGATGGTGTGCAGACCTTGCTTGCCTCGGTTGTGCTGGCCTCGGTCAGGAGGGCATCTATCATGGCGCCAACATCGCAGAGCGGATTTCGTTCGGAAAACGATAGGATGGGCTCGGAGTGTCCTGGAGGAGAATGACGTTCCAGGTTTCGAAGCGAATTTCGTGCAGATCTTTTTTGGTCCGGAATGAATACTAAAACAAATCCACGCGAAATCCACTTCGTTTTTCGTTTGCAATTTCGGGGTCGTGCGTCGACAGAAGTCCACGCAATAATCAGCTGCAGCACGTCTGCAAGGTCGGTGCAGTGATATATATATATATATATATAAATATATATTCACTTATGATGTTTCAACCTTTAGCCTTGACCACCAAAAAGAATGTCGAGCACCAGGGAAGCACCGAAACTGGGGGGGGTTCACGCGTCGGGCCCTGGGAGGCGATACTCGTTCGACGCTTTTTCGATACTTTTCTGGGTGCTCGAAATGATTTCTGGCATGTGGTCCTGAAGTGCGGCGGGAGCATATATACACATATATATATATAGTTTCTCATACGCACCTCTCCGAGAGAGTAGAGCTCAGAGCCGATTAATTGAAGGCAGCGTTCGCGATTTGTCTGGCCGTTTCGCTAGGGACATCCTCGAAATTCTGAGAATCGGTGGCACCCCTCACGCAGATCGTGACGTCAGGGTGCAACAACACATTCGAATTTCAACACTCTAACATAAAACCTTCAAAAAGACATTGTAATTTCAATGATTTTGACCCCGAATCTCAGAGAATGGCGATTTCGCCTGAGACATCCTCCCAAAATCAAGCCCCGACGTACCTTCTGATACCCCAGACCCCGCCTCGGAGCCTCTTGGGAGCCTCCTGGAACCTCCTGGGGCCTCCTGGGGCTTTCTGTACCTTCTGGTACCCCTGACCCCGCCTCGGAGCCTCCTGGGGGTCTCCTGGAACCTCCTGGGGCCTCCTGCGGCCTCCTGGAGCCTCTTGGGGCCTCCTGGAGCTTCCTGGGGTCTTCTGGGGCCTCCTGAGGCCGCCTGGGGACTCCTGGGGCCTCCTGGGGCCTCAGAACTACATGCACACACAGAGACACAAATCACACCCAACACATCACACGCTAGACAAACATAACACACACACACAACACCTACAACGCACAGAAAACACGCACAACACAGAGCACACATCACACACACACAACACTCACAATCCCGGGGCCTCCTGGAGCCTCTTCCGGTATCCAAGTCGGGCCTCCTGAGGTTTCCTGGGGGGCCCTGGTACACACATCGAAAGGTGTGGCAACCCCACTTGCGCTCTAGTGCGACCTCGATCTTAGATTCTTCTGCGTTCACCTCCTGGCTCTTCCCCTTCTCTTAGGCACGCCCTGGCGGCGCCGCCCCAGCTTCCCCTTCTGCATTTCCGATCCTGCAGTCATGGTGTCTTCCTGCTTCAAACGCCCTTTCAGTTTTTGGTATGAGCCTGGGCACACACGTGCCACTTGTGTATATATATATATATACACGCACACACATCTTGCTGGCGCCCAGGACCGCACTGGCCAGGCACGATGGTGGTGCACAGATGCCCCCAGACCTCCGACGCCGCGGTTTTGTTCGCAGCGTGGATCCCCAGATGTCTGGACCTCTTCTCCGGCACTGGTTTGTAAAGGCCCCTGGGGACCGAAACAGCGGGCGTCCCACCGTGATTCGGACCCCGACGTGGGGCACGAGGAGGCCCGTGGGCCTTCTGCACCTTCCTGGCCTTCCGACCCGTGCTCTGGCGGCACCCGGGGGAGGTCAGCGTACAAGGTGTCGGCGGTGCTGGCGGCGTGCAGCGGGCCCTACGCCGGCGGCCTCAGCGGCCCTTCGATCAGCGTGCCGCTCTTTTTCCGCACCTCGCGCGCGTCTGCCGCGTGTCCGCGCCCAGGCCTCGACCGTGGTGGGCGGGTCAAGAGGTTTCGAAGATATTGGACGCCTCGTGGCCTCACCCCGGTCGCCCCCTGAATGAGTCCCTTGTCCCGCCTCGTCCTTTTTTTTTCCCCCTGATGTATGATAGCGGACCGGTGGTAGCGTGCCCAGGATGACAATCGATGACCCATCACGTCCAGCTGTGCCTTTGCATGCATCCGCAATACGAGCGCCACAGGGTGAAACACACAAGGCACCGATATGCCTAGAGAGTCCGCTACTGCTTAGGAGAACACTCTCCCAACAACGTGTGGCAAAAAAATGCCCCTCCTCGTCCTCGTCGTCCTTCCAATCAATAAATAGTCGGGGGACTATTTTTGGAGCATTGTTTTACTATTTGGAGATATTTGTTTTGACTATGTTTCATCTCTCGTCCCCAAATCCCCCTGTAGGGGGACGCGCCCGACCTCATCCTCGTCCTCGTCGTCCGTCCCAGCACGCTCTGCCACCAGCGCTGCACAGGCCGAGGCTCCGCGAGCGGGCTCGCCCAGTGCAGGTCTGTCCTCGCGCGGCTCCGGGTCTGCTCCGTGCACCTCGTGGGCACCATCATCCATCATCCAAAGGTAGCCTTAAGTCGGGCCTGTCCCTCTACAGGGGGAAGATGCAAACATAGTAAACCAACACAGTCTGGGGACGATGTTTTGAGTAGGCTTTGGTTATGTTTGAGCATTTTTTGGCTATTTTAATTGTTCGTCCAAGATCCCCCTGTAGGGGGACGCGCCCGACCTAAAGGTAGCGTGTTCCCAAGAGAAGACAAGCATGTTCACCCCCGATGTGGGTGCAAGACGCAGGGCGGCTTCGAAGGCCTCTGGCCCCGTCCCCAGACCTCCGCCCGTTCAGTGTCATGCTAGTCGCTGGCCCGTGGAGCTGCGACATCCCTCCTTGTAGGGCCGCTTGTTGTTCGTCCTGGGTCGCTTCGGTTCACTGTCGCAGGGCTAGCGGAAAATCGGCCCGCGGAGGTTGAACATGTAGAAAACTTCCAGCTCGATGTGTCCCTGGAGGCTCCACTGGCCTCCCAGGGAGCTTCCAGAAGTTTCCAGGGGCCCCCAGCGCAGCGGCCTCGGGGGCCTACTAGGAAGGAGTCTTCCGGGAGCCCCGCGGGCCTCAGGTTCATCCGGACGTTCAGGGGCATTCAAGTACCTTCAGGGGAGGCCCCCCTCTCCCTCCTACCTATGATGGTGGCGGTGGAAAACAAGCCCACCATTACATGGACTCCTCATCTGAGCGAGCTGATGCGCTGGCCTCCCCCGTTGCTCCTCCCCCCGCCCCTCGACCGGCCAGAGAAGCGTTTGGCAGGCCACTGCCGTGGACCGGCCCAGGGGGCGCCTCTCCACCGGCCCCCGGCCCCGAAGGAAAGGGCACAGAGCCGATGACCCTGTCTCTCGCGGAGGCGCGCGGGTGCTCGGGCAGCCCCGCACACCCTTCGAGCAGGGGCTCGACCACAGCACTGTTTCAAGGGAGGAGGAACCACCCGGACCGGACAATTGGCGTTTACGAAACGGCCCTGGGCGTTCACGAAAAAGCCCTGCCCTGTTCGATTCGTTCCTTGGGTGCGTTTACAAAGCGGCCTCGCGTGTCGGGGTGGTTATGATGGGGGTGGATTTTTGGCTTCTGATTGATTTACCCCAGAACTTCGATCCACGTCGCTTGCATGACACATGCGCACACTGTCGGTAGATCTACAAACATTCTACGTGCCTCCTCTCGTAGATTCGATCTGGTCGGGGGTGCATCCATTCTCTAGCCCATGCCCTGCTCGAACCCTCCCTCGGGAGCCAGCCCAGAGGCACCCCCGAGGCAGGAGGCCGACCACGCGTGACGGGGTGGTCCTTCTCGGGGGCCCCCAGACGGGGTGGTGACCACACCGTGTGGTGGGTCGGTGTGGACGCGGGGTCACCGCACGGTTGTGGGACTCGGGTCGTTCTCCGAGGACTTCTCGGGCGACTGGGGCATCCGAGGTCCCAAGACCGTGCGCTGACGGACCGTGCGGAGAGGTCCTGGGGGACTTCGAGGTCACCGCACGGTCTGGCACCGCACCCTTTCGGGACTCCAGGTCGCCAGAGCTGCCCCTCTCGGCGGAGCGCCCAGCGGGGACGGCAGGGGGGGCATGCCTCCCCAGGAGGCTCCGAAGGCCTCGGGCCTCTCGAGAATCTCTCCGGGCCCTCTCTCTCTCCGGAAGCCACTTTTTGGCACGGAAGGGGGGCCAGGCTCGACTATTCTGAAGTGGCCGTTTCGCTCGAGTCATCCTCGACAAAAACGCCCGTTCGAAGCGCTTGTGTTAGAGCGGCGCCGATGGCCGGGCGGGCCGCAGCCCCCAGGCGGGGAGGCGGCGTGACGGCGGCGGGGCGGCAGGTGGAGGCAGCCGCGGCCGGCCAGAGGCCCGCCGGGCCCGACGAGGACTGCGACCTGATCAGCGAGGCTCGAGGCACGAAGACGGGGGGGGGGGCCCTCGAGTCACGAGAGGATCACGGCGGCAGGTTTCTCGCTGTTGTCGGCCTTCATGGGGGGCCCCTGCCGGGCCTCGGGGCCTCGGGGGAGCGACCCCGGATGACAGAGCGGTCGTGGGGAGGGGGTCGGGACCTCCTGGGGGTTGCACCGTCACGGTGAAATCACGACGTCGGGGGTCCGGGTTCGAGGAAGGGCCTCGAGGCTCCGAGATGGGTCGCAGGGCACTTGGCACCACCTCGGAGGCCCACAGGTTGACACCAACAACAACAGCATCGGCGGTGTGCCTCCACCGAGGGAAGAGGATCCCGATTTCGGTGGTGGCGGTAATGATTCCGGCTTCCAGGGTGGCCGAAATATTCTAGGATCATCTTCCCCATGTGGAGGCAGCCCCCTGTGTTGGTGTTGGTGCCCATTTCTAGGCCTTCAAACGAAGACGTGGGGCCAGGACCATGCCCGCTGTATTATCGGAGACGCCTGCGGTGAATCACCGCCGCCCCCTGCCTTCGGGAAACCTGCCCACTGTATTATCGAATGGCCTTGGGCCCATCCCGCCACTGTGCTTGGGCTGCGGGTCTGAAGCATATTCGATGTTCGTTGTGATCTCGTGGAGAGCCGCTCGGATTGTCAGTTCACATTCCCTCTCTTGGGCCCCTTTCGGGGCCGTCTTGGGGCCCCCTGGGGCCGACTTGGGCATCTCTTGAGCCGTCTTGGGGCCCTCTTGGGCCGTGCTGTTCCCTCTTGGAGGCCGCTTTGGGCCGTCCTGGAGCGTCGGGAAGCCGACAAGGTGAGAGAGCCCAGTACCGTCAAGACCCCAAGGCACATCAATACCTGTCGTCTCTTGGGGCCCTCCTGGGAGGCCTCTCGGAGGCCTCCTGCGGCGCTGTGTGGGGGCCTCGTTGCGACGTCCTGCACTCACCTGGAGGCCTCCTGGGCCGATCTTGGGGCCTCCTTGGGCCCCGTCGCGTCTCCCGCTGCCCAAACACGGTGCATGCATGCTCCTCAGCGCAGGTTGTCCATCATTCAGTGGCACGTGGCGGCCCAGACACAGTGTACACATTTTCTTCCGAGCCGGTCGCCCCGAGGACCGGCCAGCAACGTACACGCTACATTTTTTTTTTTTTTTTTTTTTTTTATTAAAATTTTTTGTAAAGTTTCTGCGAAGCCCCACGGGACAGGGCCCAGATACCTTGAGCGTATGTGCGCGATGTTCTCAACACGCCCTAAGCACAACTTTTCGGGGGGCCACGCGGAGTTATTGGCTGGCGCCGCTCCTGGCGCGCCCCGCGCGCCAGGGATGGGGGGGTGTCCCAGCGCCGTTCCGAGAAGTCCGCGCGGACCTTCGACGGCTTGTGCTTGCCCTTGCTGCTGGCACGGTGGACGCTCGCCTCCCCCCCGTTGCCAGGTGCAGGCGCCACGCTTTGCGGAATTCTTGTAAAACCGTTCTATATTCGGAGTCTGATAGACTTCCTATCCTGACACGTCGATTAGCGAAGTGGCTGTTTTCGGTTCGCGAGAGGGCGTCGCGGCCGTCATTTTTGCGGGTCCAGGTCCGTCGGTTTCGGTCCTAGGTCGTTTTTATGAAATGGAGGTTTACTAAAGGGAGGTTTGTCCACCGTCGATATACTTGCCAGCGTTCATGCAGTTGCGGAGTCGTGGGGGACTTTCTCGCCAGAGCCTCTTTCTCCTGTTCCGCGATCCATTTGGGGGGTCCAGACCGAGTCCTCCGAGGACGATGGGCGCGAACCCGCAGCGCACCTCGCTCACCACCCACTGGGGGAGGGGTCGGGGAACGTTGAAAAAAACACATGGAACCCGTACCCCCCCAACCCGAAATTCGGGTCAAATTCGAGTCTTCGGGTTGGGTTGGGGTGGTCTGGTAGGTAGTCACTCGCGCTCGAAAGCAGCTCCGATCCTAGATCCCCTCCTCCCCAAGAGGTCTCTTGCTCGCAGGCGGAGGCGGAGGCCCCCAGCGTCCCCGCGGGGCCGCAGCCCGCCATCTTGCCGGCGGCGGGCACGGTGCCCTTCGAGGATCAGGCGAGGAAAAAAACACACACAGACACAATGAATCGCCGATTCCCGGAAAATGGGGGGACAGATGCGAAGGGGGGAAAACGTAAGTCACCCCCGCCAAATATATTTTTATATCTCTCTCTCTCTCTCTCTCTCTCTCTCAAAAATATAAGTAATCCTGGGGTTTGTGTGTTCATTCGTGTGTCCCTGGGCCCCTTCAGAGGATCGGGCCGGACGAAAGCGGGGGATTGGGAAATGGGGGGGTACGAAATCTGCCACGTGCAGCTGGTTTCGGCCCCACCGAGGGGCCCATTCCTCGATACATAGCCGCCTCCGCCTCCCGACGCCCGGGAGAATCAGCTACGTGAGCTGATTCTCAAGCCCCCCCCTTTGCTATCCCCCTCTTTCGCCTGGCCCGA